CCTGAACTCCAGAGATATAAGCATGTATCTACCACTCTCTGCCCTGCTCATTGCGCTCCAGTTGCACTGCCCTTCTTGTCGTTCCTCGTATCTGGCATATCCTGCCTCAATGTTTATACTTGAAGTTCCCTCACCAGGGATATTCTTCCTCTGAACAGTCCCATGTCCCTCTCCTCTACCATATAGTCTCTGGTTGGTTATTACCCTATGCAGAAGACTTTCCAAGCTCTTCTAAAATAGCATCTTCTTACCCGACTCTATGCCATCTGTCACCAACTGACAGTCCATTACTTATTTGCAGGTTTGTTTGCTTTATTGGCTGTCTCCCTATTAAAATGTAAGATCCATAAGGGCAGGCTATGTGCCTGGCAAAGTGGGTACTAAAACATTTGTTGAATTTTACAATATATGAAACTTTTCTGTTGTCTCCAAAGGGTGGGATTATGAGAACCTTTCAACAGATAAGTTATACATTTCAGTAATGTTTGAAATGTTTACAGTAAGCATGTTTAGTTTAGATATGTGTGCCTGCCCAAATCTCATGTTGAATTACAATCCCCAATGCTGGAGGTGGGGCCTGGTGGGAGGTGTCTGGATCATGGGGACAGATCCCTCATGGCTTGGTGCTTGTGTTTACAATAGTTAGTGAGTTCTTTTGAGATTTAGTCATTTAAAAATGTGTGGCATATTTCCCCCATATCTATTTCTCTCTCCCTCTCTCTCTCACCATGCTACATGCCTGCTCTGCCTTCACCTTCCACCATGACTGTAAGCTTCCTGAGGCCTCCCCAGGAGCAGAGCAGATGCCAGCACTATGCTTTCTGTAAAGCCTGCAGAACTGTGAGCCAATGACACCTCTCTTCTTTATAGATTACCAAGTCTCAGGTATATCTTTATAGCAATGCAAGAACTGACTAATACACATGTATTACTTTGGTTATCAGGGAAAAAAAGGGCAAATAATAAAAATATTAAAGATTACAATAACAAAAAGGAATCCAATTATATGACCTGAAACTATGTATTTATGTAAGTTACAGAGAAGTTTATAAGTAGTTCAGTAGGACCTAGACAAGGATGACAAATAAGTTTTACCTTGGAAGTCAGCTGTGGTTGGCTGGTTGTGGTTGCTTGAGGCACTATATCGAAAGGGACCCTGAAGCTAAATCAGTTTTAGCAGGCAGAAGCACCATAATGAGGAATATTTTCCAGGAAAACAGAAGGAGTGGGAATAGTGGCATTCATGAATTCCTGTGCCAGATGAATGCCATTCCATGATGTTAAATCCAGGTGCGGACTATTTTCAACCCTTTCTTTTCAGTTGGCTGCTCCCTAGAATGCCTATTTGTACACTCTTTGTCTACTTGAAATTTCCATATAAATGTAAGAGATCTCAAACTTACATCCAAGACAAAACTTCTGATCTATAGTCCCCTTCAAAAACAAAAACATTACCTTTCTCCCAGTCTCCTCTCTTTCAATACCTCATTCACTCATTGCCCAGATAAAAACTCTAGACACTATCCTTAATTCCCTTCTTTCACTCAACCCTGACCCATACATTCATATTCTCAAGCAAATCTTGTTAGCTGTACCCCAAAGCATTTTCTAACTTGATCTGTGTCTCTCCATATCTAAGGTTAGTACCTAAGACCAAGCCACCATGGCCTCTCATCTATTCCACTTTAATCTAATAGCCTTCTAGCGGGTCTGCCTGTTCTCACTTGTGTCCCCTTATAATCTATTAACCACATGACAGCCAAAATCATTTTTTAAAATGAATATCAAATAATGTCACATCCTTATTGTGTCCCACTGCACTTGTGAAAAATCCAAACTCTTAACCCAGGTAATCTTCCCCAGCCTATTTCTCCAACTTTATCTCAAACCTCTCTCCTCTTACTCCCTATGCTTCAGTCATACTGGCCTCCTTTCAGTATCAAAGCTGTTTTCACCACAAGGCCTTTCTACCAACTGATCCTTAGACTAGAATGTTCTTCCTCTGACAAGCTTTTCTTACGACAGTCAGATCTCAGGTTAAAGGGGCCTTCTTCAGAAGTCTTCCAGATCTACTCAATTTAAAGTAGAACTCAATCACTATCATATAATCATATCTTAAATCTACACAATACAAGTAACTATTTGACATCCAAGCAGTCTAATTTATTAATTTGTTTGTTGTCTCACTCCCCTATCACAATATAGGATCAAGACAGTGAAGATCTTTTTAAGTAGGTGAAAGGGCCTCCTTAATAAATATTTGGTGAAGACAATTTGTGCAGTTTTCTTAATGTGTGTTATATTCAGTAAAACAAGTTTCTCTTGTGGTGTCTGTGTGTTAAATTAGAGAAATTAAATTTAAATTAGTTAAATTAGAGAAATCAATGAATGAGAACAGAACTAAGAATTCCCAATTTGGAATTAAAGTAATTCTCTGAGGTTGAAAAAGACCCACAAATTTATTTTGATTCAAATTCAAAGTGTACCAACTTTTTTTTTTTTTTTTTTGCCAGGGAGAATTAGGCGCTGACTTTAAAACAATGAAAAACCATTTGCCCTAATGGAGGTCCAGAGTGATAATAAACAGGCTATAGCAAGTAAATGCTATGAAAAGCGTACTACAGTAGAAGGTGCTATAGGTACACTTAACTCAGGCTGGGAGGTAGAGCATCAGGAAATGCTTCCCAAAGAGGTGCCATTTAAACTGAATCTGATCTAAAGGATGAGTAGTTGTGATACACATACGTGTGTTGGTGGGGGTGGGGCAAGGAAGACATGAAGTATAAGGGTATTTTAAACAGAGGAAATATGAGCAAAGCCCAGAATCCAGAGAACTGATAATATACTCAGGGAACTAAAATAATTTACTGTGGCTGAAGAGCAAAGTATGAACTGAGAAGTACTGAGAGAGACCAAAGAGGTCACCAAGGGTAATATCATGAAGCCCTATTAAGGAGTTCGGACTTTATCCTAAGGGCAAGAGTATTAGAGGATTTAAATAATTTTTATATGTAACATAACCCTCATTTATAAAAGATAATTTTAGCCAATGTGAAGTGTTTAGAGGGAGACAGAGAGGTCAATGTGGAGATTGCTACATTTTCCAGCCAAGACATAATTGTAGCCAGAATTAGCATATTAAGAGTGGAGACATAAGTGAATATTAAGATCTTACTCTGAGAAGTATTTAAGCAATTAGGTGAACACTAAAAGCACAAATAAGGAGCTATAGTTGTAACCGTGAATAAATTACCAAAAGTCAGGTTTCACAGAATATGGGACATCTAAGCTGAACTTTCAAGTACAGTAAGATTTCCAAAGAAAAAAAGGTATTTCAAACTATATGAAATCCATTTTTTTCCTTTTTATCTAGAGGCAGGCTCTCACTCTGTCACCCAGGCTGGAATCCAGTGGCACCATCATAGCTAACTGCAGCCTTAAACTCCTGGGCTCAAGAGACCCTCCTGCCTCAGCCTCCAAGTAGCTGCAACTATAAGTACACAACCACCACGCCCAGCTAATTTTTAAATTTTTTTTGTAGAGACATGATCTCACTATGTTGCCCAGGCTGGTCTTATACTCTCCTGGTCTCAAACAATCCTCTTGTCTCAGCCTCCCAAAGTGCTGGGATTATAGATGTAAGCCACTGGGCTGAGCCTATAACAGACTTTTATATAGCAGAATTATTTCCTTGTTCAAATAATTTGAAAAAATTAAAAAATAATCTGTGTGTTTAAAACATATATCTTTTTTTGTAGGCAGAAACTCTTTAAACATCTCCATTTATGACTAATCGTACATTATGATTTTATCATACTCTATTAATCAATTCTAATAAACTACCAGCTACAAGAATCATGAGGGTCTGGTCTCTGGCAGCTCTCTGTTATCACTACAAAAAAGTTTTCTTGACAGTAAAATCACAATGAAAAAATAAAAACAGTTAAGACATATACAGTGTATATGTACATTTCTAAATAACTGAAGACGTTAAAATAATGGAACATATTGTCTTATCATTATGATAAAAACTAAACCAATAGTAAAATATATCTCAGGATGAGTTCAACTTAAAAGATAACAACCATATAATCTAATTCAGCAAACATTTATTGAGAATTTATACACCTATACAAGTCTATTTTTCCATATACATTGGTACTAGAGTAGGCAATAGAAAGATAAAAGAGCTAGGAGACAGATGCTTCCTCAAAAATTTTGTAAGCCAGATAGGAAGACAGACATAATTCATTTCAGGAAGCATTTTTACAAGACTTCTGCAAGGATAATGTGACTTTATGAATAAAAATGGTTCCAGTAGAGACTTTGATATTCTTTTACATTTAATAATGTAAGATGCAGATGTCAAAGGAATAATACACTAACTATAGTGAATATATTTTATATTTCCATAATTTTACTCTATAGATGGAATGTTGAATTCAAGAAAATTACTACTGATTTGAACTATGACCAAAAAGTTTAGCTGCCAAGTCTCAAAAAGAAACAGACTGTAGGTAAGAAATACATGGCAAACACAGAAAACATATGAAGATTAAAAGAGAATCTGGCTGGGTACAATGGCTCATGCCTGTAATCCCAGCATTTTGAGGGACTGAGGTGGGTGGATCACCTGAGGTCAGTAGTTCAAGACCATCCTGGCCAACATGGTGAAACCCCATCTCTACTAAAAATACCAAAATTAGCCAGGCAGTAATTTACAGCTGGTTGAAGGTGGCTGTAATCCCAGCTAGTAAAGAGGCTGACACAGGAGAATTGCTTGAATCCGGGAGGCGGAGATGGTTGTGAGCTGAGATCGCGCCACTGCACTGCAGCCTGGGCGACAGGGCGAGACTCCATTTCAACAAAAAAAAAAAGAAAAGAAAAGAGAATCTATGTAGAAATTTCCTAAGGAAAACAACATAATTATTTTATTTTAGATCTGTAATTTAAGTAACATATTTATCTCCTAGTTCTTATTTTAATACAGTAACACTTACCTTACAACTATAAGAATGGCTATAAGTATTGAACAGATAGGATCTGCTATCATCAGACCAAAATTTTGCATCATGATGGCAGAAGCAATTACACCAATACTTCCAAGTGTATCTGCTAGGATATGTAAAAATACACCTAGAAATGAACCATAATAAAAATCAAAATGGTATCTTTTGGTTAATTTGAAATACAAGTATATCCTAAAACTATACTCTTAATTTTATATATAAAAAACTAGATATCAATTTTAAAAGTAAGTAAGCACGTATATTCACTGTTTAGTAACCATGTAATATAATAGTACATTTTTGAATTAAAATCATGTTTCTGTTTCAAATCAACAGGGGTTAAAGTAACTGACTGGTAAATTACACTTGTTCTTAATGGTATAAATGAAGTAGAGAAGCAAGGTGATTTTTAAAAACTGTTTGTGAACATTCACCTCTGGCTAAAAGGAGTCCAAAAGTTAATAATTTGTTAGGGGAAGGAAACTGCATTAGGCTAAAAGAGCTGGTCAAGAAAACATTTTAACTATAGATATACGTACCTACAGAGCCCTCTGCTGGTGATTAGAATTATTACCATTTGGGACTACAATTTCCTATAAACTGCTTACCCTGTTATTATCCTAAAAGCTCTACCTAAATTGGTTACATACTACACTCAAAGGTGATGTGAAAGAAGGCAGAGATTTAAATATTTTAAAATAAATATAAAATACATATTTATTTTTGAACTTTTAATAATTAAATATTAATTTGGTAGAATACTGATGTTATACTGATATTCTAAGAACTTAAACATAATAACATTTAGTAAGTCAAAGTTACCTAGAAAACCATTTAAAATATCAGGAAGTAAGATTTATATACAATATTTCCTGAGAAAACTCAACTAAGACAAATTATTTAGAACTTTAATACTAAATTTCTATATAGCAAAACATTCTCACACTTCAACCATGTCATGCAAAAAATAGAACATTCTTCAACACCATCACCTGCCCTATCTGAAAAGAAAAAGTTAAGGCATAAAAAGCACATATCTATTTGAGAAATAATTTTTCCTTTTTATTATTTGCTACACACTAAAGGGTAAACTATAATTATTATTATTTGAAACAAAACAAGTTTTGCTCTTGTTGCCCAGGTTGGAGTGCAATGGCACAATCTCGGCTCACTGCAACCTCTGCCTCCTAGGTCTAAGCGATTCTCCTGCTTCAGCCTCCAGAGTAGCTGGGATTACAGGTGTGCACCACCACGCCCAGCTAATTTTGTATTTTTAGTAGAGACGAGGTTTCTCCATGTTGGTCAGGCTGGTCTCAAACTCCTGACCTCAGCTGATCCCCCGTCTTGGCATCCCAAAGTGCTAGGATTATAGCCACGATACCTGGCCTAACTATAATTATTTTTAGGTATAGAAACACAAACTTACTTAAACTCAAGAAATTTTCTCATAATTTAAAAATTGACTGGTAATGAGTCAAATCAAATCTTGTGTTCTGGGAAATTATACTTCATATTTTCTGACACTGATGGAAGTTTGTATGAAATATTACATTAAATATAAATCATCCCTCGCTACCTACATATAACTTTTCATTTATATACAGTTTGACTCATTATAACTGTTCTTCAAACAGAATGGTTCTTTAAGAACAGCTCTCGGCCGGGTGTGGTGGCTCACGCCTGTAATCTCAGCACTTTGGGAGGCTGAGGTGGGTGGATCACTTGAAGTCAGGAGTTCGAAACCAGCCTAACATGGCGAAACCCCGTCTCTACTAAAAACACAAAATTAGCTGGGCATGGTGGTGCATGCCCGTAATCCCAGCTACTCGGGAGGCTGAGGCAGGAGAATCACTTGAACCTGGGAGGCGGAGGTTGTAGTGAGCCAAGATCATGCCACTGCACTCCAGCCTGGGCAACAAGAGCAAAACTCCATCTCAAAAAAAAAAAAGGGAAGAACAAATCTCTTAAAAACTCTTCCAAAACAAAGGAATTTAGTCAGATATACTCATAGAATATTCAGTTCCTATCCGCTATTTCCAAATAGCAATGATTTATGTACAGTATTTCCTGAAAAAAAAAACTCAATTAAGAAAAATTATTCAACATTTAGATCTTTAATACAAAATTGCTATATAGCAAAACATTCTTAAACTTCAACCATGCCTTACTAAAAACAGAACATTCTTCAACATCATCATCTGCCCTATCTGAAAAGAAAAAGTTAATGCAAAAAAAGCACATATCTACTGGAGAAATAGTTTAATAATGTTGGGCCTTTACTTTTAAAACTAAAACTGGAAAAAAAATACACATCAAAGGGGATACTAAAAACGTCAATATATAATACCTGCTTTTAAACCTTTATATTCTTTAACCAGTGTTTTGGTAGAATAAAAAATGAAAATGACTCTAAATATAAAAGGAAAAAGAAAATAATGATTTGTTCCTGATTTTCCTTAGACTTGGAAGTCCTCACTACCATTTATTTGCTAACCTGAAAACTGATTTTATTAGTAAGAGTCATTAAAACTACCTAAGCCCTTCTTACTACATAAACTATTTAAGAAGAAAAATCACTAAGAAAGAAATATAAACTAAGATGTTTAACTTATCCAAAGTTAAAAGCCTTAGAAGACATGCTAGGATACTGATAATATAACTCCCCAAGAACTTGGTAAGCTAGGGGTCAAGAGATAGCAAATAATTGAAAAATTTAATTAATTCAAGTTTTTCATGCATGAGTATCTATCTACCTGGTCGTTTTACAATAAGTTTTTAATGCCAGGTAGATATCTCTGTTCTTCAGCTATTTACTGGGCTCTTCAGCCACCATTATCTGATGAATGTTCAGAAAATATAAACTTATTTTCATAATAACTTATATAAAAGAAAATTAGGAAGGCAAATCTAACTTCCTTTCCTCCAACTTGTGATGATTTTCAAAATTAAATTCTTATTATCAAGGCTAATTTATAGTACTGGATATAGATGCATCAAATATGCATGATTATAAGCTATTTCAGCAAATGTTATTCTAAAACAATTCCATATATTTTGTAAATGGAAAAGTTGTGATTGGAAGACACATTTAAGCCTTCTGAAAATAAATTTCTCAGTATGAAGGAATATATTCACAGTGAAAAAATAAAAAACAAGAGTTATATGAAGCAATAGTGGTGCAGTTGAGATTGAATCAGAAACCAATCAGAAAAGTCAGATTGAAGTCAAAAGTTAATAAAGGCAAGAAGATAGCAGAAAATTAGGAAACCCTGACAATAAGGTCTAAATAGAAACCCAGAGCCAGAGATTGGTTCATAACTCAACCCCCCATCCCCAAAAAAACTACTATAATTCATAGGCAGGATTGATTTTCTCTGGCTTGTATAACTTTGCAATATACAATTTTACACACCATGTAAGCTCCTACAGGTATTAGTTATGGATGGCCTACAAATATGATGGAGTTCTCACTCTGCATTAGATTTTTAGCTCTAAATTTTCCCACAACATAAAAATATATTAAATATTATTCTTGGAAAACTATGTAATAATCTTAAAAAGGCAAACATACGACTACAGACAGTCCTCGACTTAAAATGATCAGCTGTGACTTTTCGACTTCACGATGGTGCGAAAGCAATATGCATTCAGTAGAAACTGAACTTCAAATTTTGAATTTTGGTCTTTTCCTGGGCTAGCAATAATGTGCTATGATCATCTCTCATGATGCTGAGCAGCAACAGCAGGCTCCCAGTCAGCCATGTGATGGCAACGGTAAACAACCAATATTATACTTCACAGTGGACTGTATTCAATAAAGTACACGAGATATTCAACACTTTATTACAAAATAGGCTTTGTGTTAGATGATTTTGCCCAATTGTAGGCAGATGCCAAGTGTTCTGAGCACATTTAAGATAGGCAAGGTAAAATGACTATGTTCAGTAGGTTAGGTGTGTTAAATGCATTTTCAACCTGCAACATCTTTAACTTACCACAGGTTTATTAGGCCATAACTCTACAGTAAATCAGGAAGATCTATACAATGTTTACAGTCACAGGCATGGCCATTACTTATATTTAAGCAGAATAGTTTCTGAATCTTTTTCTTTTGAGATGGAAGTCTCACATGTTACCCAAGGTGGTCTCAAACTCTTGGGCACAAGCAATTCTCCCACCTCAGCCTCCTGAGTAGCTGGGATTGTGGGGCACATGCCAACTGTACCCAGCTCAATATTTTGCTTTTCTTATTAAATCAGAGAAAACAGTCAAGTGATAATTAAAAGAATGTCTGCTAATATATCTACTAGTATATTTAAAAAGATCACTAGAAAGGCTAACATTCTAAACACAAACACTGTGTTATATATTTTTCTTAAAGGAAAATTTCAGACAACTAAAACTTCAAAAACAATAAAAGCAGTTTCAAAAAACTAAGAAACATAAAAATTGCTTGTCTTACCTTGTAAGATCTGTCTGCTGGGTCCTGTTGTTTCTTTCAAGGAGGGGCCATCTGTAGAGAATTAAGTTAGTTTAAAACATGTTTTCAATTCCCCATTCAAATTTTTACAACTCAGAGTCCTTTTCATTCAAAGGCATCATCAGGAACGCATGGCTATATAGCCATATCAAAATTACAAACTTATTTTTCAAATTTAATAAAACAATTGAGTGGAGGTAAATTTAGTGGACGTAATTTTAAAATTCATCAAAGGTATGGAGGATTTCAGGAATCATTGTATTAAAAAAGATTAAAAGCACAGGAAACTAAAAACACTGTGAAAATCTTCTGATACTCATAACATATCTTCCAATACTTTTACAAGTGGAAAATTCAGAGAAAATCAAATGTACTGCTTGAAGTTATGAGGCCCAAGAAATGAAGCCAGGACAGAAAGATAACCTGACTATGGTAATAGTTTTTCAAAAGCTTCTAGCGTAATGTGGCAAACTCTTCATACAGAAGAGATAAAAATACTACTTTTTTTCATTTTGCCTTTATGATGAAAAAAGTGCTATAATTTCTATCCTTAAATATCTGGAAAATTACTAATCACCTTTAACACTAAAGCAGAAAATACAGGTAAACAAGACAAAAGATTACCAATATTTGTTTAAACAGAGCATCAGGAAGACTGACGAGCTTTCTGATCACAGCTAACAAAGTATATGCTATGTCATCTGTTCATGGTCCGCAGCACCAAAAAGGTCAAAGCACCCTTATCAGTACAGCTTTGGTAGAGCATTGCAATAATATTCTGCAATAATGTAACAAAGAAATACAAAAGCATAATACCACATAATATTTCCTATCTAGATATACTGCTGTGTGGGAAGGAAGTAGCTACCCTAAAAAATCCAGCTGATAGCCAAGTGTGAGGGATATGCAGTTTTCAATATTATCTTGACATGCACGTGAGCAAAAAAGTTGGACAAGCAAGGTTTAAAGCATACTTGTGTAACTGTTATAAAAATACAGCATATTTTAGAGACTGACACAGGCCACAGGCAAAAATAGACAAGTTGGATTACATCAAATTAAAAACCTTCTGCAAGGCAAAGGAACCAAATAACAAAATGAAAAGGCAACTTACAGAATGACAGAAAATATTAGCAAACTATGTATCTGATAAAATATATATGGAACTCACAATCAACAGCAAAAGTAAATAAGTAACCTAATTTTAAAATGGTCAAGGAGTCACAGAAAGATACATAGTGCATGTTCTCACTTACTTGTGGAGTATAGTTTTGAAAATCAAAACAATTGAACTCATAGAAGCAGAGAGTAGAAGGATGGTTATCAGAGGCTGTGAAGGGTAGTGTGGTGCTGTGGGGGGAGTGGGGATGGTTAATGGACACATACACACACAAATAGAATGAATAAGATCTACTGTTTGATAGCACAACAGGGTGACTACAGTCAATAATAACTGTACCTTTCAAAACAACTAAGAGTATAACTGGATTGTTTGTAACACAAAGGATAAATGCGTGAGGGAAAGATACCTCATCTCCATGATATGATTATTTCATACTGCATGCCTATATCAAAACATCTCATGTATCCCATAAGAATATACACCTGGCCGGGCACAATGGCCCATACCTGTAATCCCAGCACTTTAGGAGGCCGAGAAGGGTAGATCACGAGGTCAGGAGTTAGAGACTAGCTTGGGCAACCCAGTGAAACTCAGTCTCTACTAAAACACAAAAAATTAGCTGGGCGTGGTGGCAGACGCCTGTAATCCCAGCTACTCGGGAGGGTGAGAGAACTGCTTGAACCCAGGAGGCAGAGGTTGCAGTGAACTGAGGTTGTGCCACTGCACTCCAGCCTGGGTGACAGAGCGAGACTCCATCTCAAAAAAAAAATGTGTGTATATATACATGTGTGTGTGACACACACACATACATACATATATACCTATTGGCTGGGTACGATGACTCACGCCTGTAATCCCAGCACTTTGGGAAGCCAAGGTAGGCGGAGGAGATTGAGACCATCCTGGCTAACATGGTGAAACCCCATCTCTACTAAAAATACAAAAAATTAGCCAGGCATGGTGACACATGCCTGTAATCCCAGCTATTCAGGAGGCTGAGGCAGAAGAATCGCTTGAACCTGTGAGGCAGAGGTTGCAGTGAGCCGAGATCACATCACTGCATTCCAGCCTTGGTGAAAGAGCAAGATTCCATCTCAAAACAATTTAAAAAATAAAGAATATATGTCTACTATGTACCCACAAAAATTTAAAAAATTTATAAAAAAATAAATGAAATAAAAATTAAAAAAAAAATTAAATGGCCAAATATTTGAATGGACATTTCTTCAAAGAAGACATACAAATGGCCAACAGGTATATGAAAAGATGCTCAACATCACTAATCATATGGGGAATGTAAATCAGAATCACAATAATATATCATATCATACCTGTTAGAATGACTATTACCAAAAAAGCAAAAGACAAGTGTTGGCAAAGCTGTGGAGAAAAGGAAACCCTTGTACACTACTGGTGGCAATGTAAACTGGTACAGACACTATGGAAAACAGTATGGAGGGTCCTCAAAAAAATAATAATGGAACTACCATATAATCAGCAAGCTGGGTATTATATCAATGAGAATTGAAATCAAGATCTCAAAGATATCTGCACTTCCATATTCACTGCAGCATTAATCACAATAGCCAAGACATGGAAGCAACCTAAATGTCCATCAACAGATGAATGGATAAAGAAATGTGGTATATACATACAATGGAATACAATTCAGCCTTAAAGAAAGAAAGAAATCCTGCTAATTTTGACAATATGAATGATCCTGAAGCACATTATGCTAAGTGAAATAAGCCACACTACATTTATACTGCTTATATGAGGAATCTAAAACAGTCAAATTCATAGAAATAGAGAGTAGAACAGTGGTTGCACGTGGTTGGAGGGAGTTGGAAATGGGGAAATATTAGTCAAAGGCCACAAAGTTTCAGTTGTGCAAAATAAATAGGTCCTAGAGATTTGTATGGCATAGTGCCATAGTTAATACTGTTTTGTATACTTAAAAATCTGCCAAGAGTATAGATCTTATATTAAGTGCTCTTACTGCAAAAGAGAAAGGAAGAAAAGAAAGGAGGAAGAAAAAAGAAAATGAAGAACAAAAGGAAGAAAATAAAGAAAAAAAGGAAGAGAAGGAAGGAAGGAAGGAGAAAGGAAGGAAGAAAGAATTGAGTGTAGGAAGAAACTCTCAATGGGAATGGATATGTTTATTAGAGGAATCATGGTGATGGTTTCATGCCTGCATACTTACCTCCAAACTCATCAAGTTGTATACATATTTACCTCTTTTCATATGTCAATCATATCTCAAGAGTAGTTAGACATTTTTTTTTTTTAGACAGAGTCTAGCTCTGTCGTCCAGGTTGGAGTCCTGGGTTCAAGCTATTCTCCTGCTTCATGGAAAAATTTCAAAGACTAAAGAATGAAGGGCTTAGAAGGCTCACTCTCCAAGATCCCTTTCATATTTTCAAATCTAAAGCTTTAGGGTTCTGTCTATGTTGCAAATACAAGATAATATTTAAGCATACACTCTATTGAGACTAATCAAATTGTGTTGCCTAAGTAGCTTCTATTAAGCTGTATTTTATAAACTATATAAAATACAATTCAAAATAAAATATTGAGTTGATAAATACCTCATAACTTAGTACCCAATGCTATATAAGTTAGCATCCAAGTATTTCTAAAGAAACATAAACATCAGGTGACAGACATCAAAAATTATAATACAAGTGTGCAAAATTGAAAACCTCTACCATATTTTTAGAAGCCTATATAGCACGAAAGGCCTTGTGATGCTTAAAAAATTGGAATTTTCATTTCCTAAAATGCAATTGTTCCTCATGCACTAACACTCATTTAATATAGTGGCATTTAGGAGGATGGGAGAGGGGATGGTTAACGGGTACAAAAAAATAGTTGAAAGAATGAATAAGACGCAGTATTTGCTAGCACAACAGGGTGACTATTGTCAAATATAATTTCACTTTACATTTTTAAATAACTAAGAGTATAATTGGATTGTTTATAACACAGGATAAATGCTGAGGGGCTGGAAACCCCATTTACCCTTATGTGATTACTATGTGTTACATGCCTATACCAAAATGTCTCATGTAACCCATACATCTATACAACTCTGATGTATCCACAAAAATTAAAAATTAAAAATAAATACATAAACGAGTATCATTTTATTATGATATACCCCTGGATAAAAAGCTAACATCCACTACCTTATACCGAATTAATTTCCTGCTATACTAAAAATAAACTAGCCCTGGGAACCATTTAGACTGATTCATTAGAAAAGAAGTTGATTGTGTATCTTTTTAATAAACTATTTCAACTAGGAAAAGTAATCCAAAAAATTTTCATTTATTTGGAGGCTATCCCTTTTGTCTTCAGGCTGTACTCACCATGAGAATGAAAGTGTCCATGTCCATGAGCATGATCATGGCTATGTGCAGCACCATGTTTCACATCATGGCTATGACAGTGATCGACATGGCCATGTGGCTGATCTAGAGCACCATTAAAAAGGGAATGACTGTGTCCATGGCCTAGAAAACAAAGTGTTAGCAAAGAAGGTATATAAAAATATATAAATGGTTACAATTGTACTGATACTAGGGCAAAGAATCAGCTCTAAACTCAGATCAATTCAATAAACATTTACTTGTAAAAGGTGTTACAGATTTATTAAAACAATCCTAAGTTCCTGCTATGGAGTCCCAGAAGGTAATAAAGCATAGAGGAAAGTGATAGACCTTACTGGAAATGCAAATAAGTACTACCTGGAAGTATACAGAAATATCAAAAGATAACATTATCTAATGTTATTCATTCCTTTGAGAAATACATATTTATAATGTTTTATGTTATAGGAATCATTCTAGGCATGGGAGATGAGGCAGTAAACAACAAAGACAAAATTCTGGGCCCCAATTTCTCAGAGTACTATTACATACACTAACACAGATTAACAAGACATATGCAAATGCTCACATGAAGGAAGACACAAGAAAGCTGCCGCATTTGGTAACAGAATCAGTAAAATCACATTAAAGCAGGTAGAAAGAGCTAAATGCAAAAGAATGCAGAATTGTCTCTCCACAGCATACCTAAAAACAACTAAACCAACAAGAAACGTCTTATACAGGCTACTCTAAAGGACAGAAAAAGAGTGGATGCTATCCAAGTCAAAAATACCACTTACATTTACAAAAATTCTAAATACCAGTAAATTAAATCCAGCACTGCACCATATGAAAAAATCATGACAATGAGGATCTCCAAGACATATCTACACATTACATTTCACACACACACACACACACACACACACACACAGCTTTTTTTTTTTTTTAGACAGGGTCTTGCTCTGTCACCCAGGTTGGAGTACAGTGGCGCAATCTCAGCTCACTGCAAACTCCACCTCTCAGACTCAAGCGATTCTTCCATCTCAGCCTCCTGAGTGGCTAGGGCTACGGGCATGCACCACCATGCCTGGCTAATTTTGTATTTTTTTGTAGATGGAGTTTCACCATAAGTGATCCACCTGTCCTGGCCCACACAAAACTTTTTGATAAGTAGATTTGGTCTGTGGTTTTCCGATATTTATTTTATATAAATGGTATCATACCAAACAGATAAGCTACTGAGGTCTGGTAGGATCCATATAACACACACCACTCTGAGAAGGCACTGAGATGGAGGGTCATAAAGAAGCAGGAGGGACAGTTCAGGAAGACATTCGTATAGTCTGTTGACATATTACTTTCGTTATCGGAAATCAATATAGTTTAAATTTTTAAATTAACAATTCTCTCAAGTAAATAATTATCATAGAAAATTAACAGAAGATGAAGAAACAAAGTGTTCTAACCATCATACCAGAGCCATGAGAATGTCCATGACCTCCATGTTTGAAAACAAATATTCCTATTAGGTTTACCACAAACCCAAGAATGGAAACAAGTAGCAGTCTCTCATGGTGGACATCTGGAGGGGCTAATGCTCTCTAGAAAACACATAATCCAAACAAATAGCATTGATATTCTTTCTGATTGATCAACTAAGAAAATCATAAGGCAATATTAAACACTTTCAGTTATTTTCAGAATTAAAAGCACTAACAAAATCTGCCAAAACAGTTCATAGAAATAAAAGCAGTGCTCACACACCGTAGAAAAAATAACAATTACTATTTTTAAATAAATATAAACATTTAAAAGCATAAATATTTGGTCCAAAACTTGTTGTTATTTGGTATCTTAAAATACTGTCTTTTATGGCTCTTGCCTGTAATCCCAGAAATTTGGGAGGCCAAGGCGGGTGGATCATTTGAGGTCAGGAGTTCAAGACCAGCCTGGCCAACATGATGATATGCCATCTCTACTAAAAATACAAATAAATTAGCCAGGTGTGGTGGCATGCACCTGTAATCCAAGCTACTCGGGAAGCTGAGGCAGAAGAATCGCCTGAACTCAGGAGGCGGAGGTTGCACTGAGCCGAGATTGCGCCACTGCACTCCGGTCTGAGCAACAGAGTGAGACTTCGTCTAAAAAAAAAAAAAAAAAAATACTGCTTTTTATTTTAAATTCACTAATTTTTCAGTTTTCTTCCTTTTTAAAAAATACGTCAAATGTTAAAGATTCATTGGAAAAACTCTCAGGTTCTAATTTCTTATTGACCTCACTATCCAGATTGTGCCTCTACATTTCATAGTGTTAACATTTCATTCATAACTTGAAAGCACGATCATTTAATTGTTTTCAATTCCAAGATTCATATATATTTAATTTTTTGACTATTTTGTAAGCTCCCCTTGTATACACATAATATCTTCTCTAATCCAAGATTGCCCACAATATTTAATGATAGTTGAAAACAGCTGTTATATATCTTTAATTAATAAAGATCTTCATTACAGAAATGTAATTTACTGACTTTAAATCATTATCTACTATACCTCAACTCCTTCTGAGAAAATAAAAAAAGCAGTGAAGATCAAAAATAGGCCATTGACAAAGCCAGCCAGAACTTCTGCTCTAACATACCTACAGAGGAACAAAATAAATAACTGAATTATTACATTATTTCTTAAAAATTAAATCATAAAATTACATACATTCAGAGATTCTAAATCATATAATATGGTTTTAAGTGGCCAGCAAAGTCCTAGTGTTTATAGTACAGTGTGTTTTATTTTATATATATATATATATATGTAGTAAAAATGAGGAAATGAATTATTATGAATTATGTTTAAAAGCAGAATGCCACAAAACACAGATTTTCACAAGTCAATCAAAAGACCTTCTTAGAGTAAGTAGTTTTAGAAAGACCTTTCACAGAAATTTAAATCTCAAGTTGCCACTGGAGAAGGAAAAACAGAACCAGACAAGTGGAGAAAGAAAGAAGGATTCAGAGATAAAAGTAGAAAAGGGGGTCTGGAAAGGGGTTTTTAAAAACTTATTAATTTCTCCTTTTCTAAGAACTCCTTATGCTTTCTGCTTTGTACCTTTTAGCTTTCAAGTCTTTGGAGAGTAGAGCTTTGCTTCTGAAGGAAAATGAAATTATTTCTGACTTATCCCAGAGACAACTTGAGATTTATATTTCTAATACTTTTTCTAAGATTAATAAGTTTAGCATAAACCTTTAATTACCTATTTTTAGAATCTATTTTAGCTTCACATAATTCTAATTAAACTATTTTAAAAATACCTGTCTTTTGTTCCATGGACTTCTGAAGCTTTCTGCTTCCTACCTGTACGAAGCATTGGGGAAAGATTTTACTTTTCTATATGGTATATTTGGCTTAGTTAAAGTTATCAGAAAGAACTTTAACTCAGCATTTTCAACTTTAATTAAGCATTTAACTTAGCAACATGTTCAAACACCATTCAAAGGGTGCTAACAGCAGTTAACCATTCTGGTCCTTAATATAATGTGATCATCAAAACTTGTGCTTTTCTTAGGTTTCTATGTTAACTTCTAGGTAATATGATTTTTACTGTAAAAATATTTTTAAAGAGAATTCTTGAAAATGTACTCTATAAAGTTATGTTGGAGTTTATGCTGTCAAGTGCAATCCAACATAGCATGTATTTCTATGCCAGAAATAATGCCTATTTCTATCTTCTAATACATCCAAATAACATATTACTTGTCATAACATAATTTTTTTGTTTTTCTGGCAAAAAGTTCATTAAATTCAAATAATTTGCAGCCAACTTTCCATAACCTACACTTAGGAATTTATCTAATAAATCAGCAGGGTTACTATCCAAAAACAAAAAGTATTTTCATTTAATCCAGGCTTGTAGTCCCATTAACTAATGCTTGACTGAAAGCCTTTGTGCTTGAGTTCTACCAGATTTCAAGATCAAAGGCAAGAATGTTTTTCAGGCATCTTTTTGTTTCTAATTCCTAGCTTAGTAGGTGTGCTCCCTAAGTTCAGATAAACTGTTGGAGTGATTTAATTAGCTTGAGTTTAACACACATTTGTTAAACTTGGTTGTAGGCTCAAAACTAAGAACACATAAAAACTAAACACACTTGCCTTTACACATAACTGTGTTTACTTAACAGATTGAATAGGTCTTAGAATTAGAACATGTAATTCACGAATGTGGTTGCTTAATTAAGTATGACTGGTATTTAGATTCTTGGGCCAGGAAGAAAAATAAAAAAAATCTAAGTGTAAGTACACATGTATATACGCTTGTATGTATGGATCTGTCTACCTACTGGATGTATATTACTTTTATGCTAGCTTTGCTCTTTAAAAAATAAGAGTGTGGCAAGATACAAAGATGACTTTTATATAAAGAAATACTTAAAAGTCCTTGCTTGCTCTCATATTCCACAACTCTTTCTTCTATTGCAGAGTGAGTTGGCTACTGCGGTCATCCTGAATTGGCGGGGGATTGGGGGAGTTATGTGAATTCATCCCTATGTTTAACATGAATTAATCAGTATCATTTTGATGTCCTGACACCAGTAGTTTACAAATGATGCTGCTTATTACTACAGCAATTATTCATAGTGTTAAATATTGTACCAGCTTTTATTCTTTAATCTTTCCCACAAGAAAACACACGCACATAAGGAGAGAACTAGTTAAAGCGGAATACTGAAATCTGCTGTGGTAGTGAAGGTATTCAAAGCTATTTCTAAAAACCATTTAAGAGCAGGAGACAGTACATTCTAAATTGGAAAAAATAGAAACTGTAAGCATTAAACAACTGAGAATTTTTAATAGTAAGCTACTGTTTATTCAGAAAGACTGTTGTATTCAATTAGATTTTTGATATATAATATAAATAATTTTCCAACAAAAATTGTAACTTTGGATATAACCTTTAATAATCTAAAATATACTTAATCTTTTAGTAACTATTGTTTAAATTATTTGCATATCACCAATATCATGTCATAAAAAGTGTTTTTATCTGAACTGTCAAGCTGCTTGAGTTTATAGATATATAGGATCTACTGCTCTATACTATAAAAGGTAAAATTAGTATTTTTTGGCTCACTTTTTGTAATTTCACAAATAACCATATTCCTTGGTTATAACTAAAATCAGCAAGTTCTGCCACAGAACTTCATATCTCCTTTTCAGCAATCGTCACAATATATAGCTATTACCGTATTTTTACAAAACTGTTTCCCCATGAGACCACAAGTTCCTAGAAGCCAGGAGGCATGTCTTATTCATCTTTATATCAGTAGAACTAGAAAAGTATTTGACTTTTATGGACCCTCAATAAATACCTAAAGACAACAAGAGCATGTGAAAGAAAGAATGTGTGCTTGCTAAAGGAAGGAAACAAAGCCAGAGAGAAAGAGGAAGCAGTGAAGGGACAAGAGCAAACAACAAAACAAGAGGCATAAGAGACAGTGCATATTAGAAGGTGGTTGTAAAAAGGACAGAGAGAGAGTGAGAGAAACTGCACAGGAAAGGGACACCTCAGGGAAGGAGAATCAGTGAAAGAAGGAAAGAAAGACTTGGAAAGGGAGACAAAAGAAGCAGAGCTAAAGAGGTCAACAGAAGGGGAGGAGGAAAGAGAGAGCCTGAGAGATAAAGGTTAAAAGGTAGAAGAAAAGAGCAGGAGGAAAGAAAGAATAAAACAGACAAAGTATAGGGGGAAAGAAGAAGGAAGAGAGAGGGAAAACGATCATGAGCACAAGCCCAAGTGACAAGCAGCAAAGAGTAAGAGAAGGAAAAGGGAGTTCAGGAGAAGAGAAAGTAAGAGCAGGATGGGAACAAGAGTGTGAGACAGAAAATATGAGAGAGTGATGAAGAAGGATGAGAATGTAAAAGAGCACTCATAGGGGAAACGAAGAGGTGGAAAAGGAGAGAGGGAAAGAATCAGTAAGAAAGCAGAAGAGAGGGAATAGGAAAGACAGAGGGGTGGGGAAGAGAAAGAAGCAGAGTATGCATCCTGAGCTCTGCTTACACATATATAATCACACTGCAAAATATTCTGTCAACTCAGAAAAAGAAACACTCAGGCAGTGTCATCAAATAATGAAAAATTCATTGCTTCCTCCAGAGGTGACAAAAATCAAATTATGCCTCTAAGATGATCCAATGTAGTCCCTTCAGCATAAAGTTACTCTACAAATATTTGATTAATTGTCCAGCAAGCATATGAGAAGAAATATGGTACATACAAGCAGATTTTTCTTCTTACCCATAAGAGAAAGCATCATTATCTCTCCATTTTGAAATAACAGAAGCTGCCAGTCCAGCCAAAATGGCAGTGCTATCGAAAAACATGTGGAAAGAGTCGGAAATCAAGCCTAAGCTGAAAAAGAACAAACACATTGACAAATTATAATAAAAACCAAATAGTAGGCATCCTTCTCTGAAAATCTAAGATTCAATCTTTGATCATCAGGAATTATATGTTTATATTTAAACATACAATTGTTATATTTAAAACAATTTAAATATGCTATATAGATAGCTATATATCTTGTTGATCAGGAATTATATGTTTATATTTAAGTATATAAATTGTTATATTTAAAACAATTTAAATATGCTATATAGACAGCTATTGAGGATAAGTTTTAAATATCTAAAAAGTAAACCCTTACACTCCTGCATAAGGAAAAGCCGAGCTGCTGTGAGAGAGGTAGAAACAAAAACATCTACTGCTGGGTACGGGGTAGGAATTTGACCATCCCTTGCAAAGGTCAGATGCCACTGAAAGAGAGGTAGGAAAAAAATGCCATCTGCTACTGGGACAAGGCTGATACCTATTTGCACCTAGGATCTTACAAAGCAAAGGTTTGCTATCGTTGAGTGTCCTGCTCCTCCCTTTTGAGAACAGGCTGAGGACAGTGGGGACAGGCTGGGAGAGAGGGAGAGCTGCAGGATCATTATTATTTACCCTGACATTCAGGTGCACAGGCTTGCCTGACTAGGGATACAACAAGATAACCTGGTCCCACCCTTCCCACCAAGCCTTGAATAAAGTATACGGAACAGCAAACTACCAGTGAGAGCACTGAGATATGTGCAGAACTTGCTGAAAGCTGAAAGTAGAGCAAGAACCCTTAAAAAAAAATCCTCCAATACTCCAAATCCAATACTAATCACAAAGTAGTAGAAACCACTGGAAAAATTTAAAGACTGTGGTTTATCAGCAACAACAAAACACAAAACCCAGCTCAACTTCAGTTCAACTATTGACCAGATAGTTTCAAAAGTCCCACACTCATTAGTGTTTTCCAGACAGAAAAATAGGTGGCCTATTTCTGGACATACACAGTCTCTATTATTCTTTTAAACACAATGGCCAGCACTCAATGACAAAATCATGAAAGAAAGAGACTCATTGTTAAGAGTTACAACAGTCAACACAATCAGAACCAGAAATGGCCCAGATGTTGGAACTATTAGATAGGACTTTAAAACAAATGTAATTAATACGTCAAAGGATATGGTATGAAGTCAGAGAAAAATCATTAACAAATGAAGAATTTCTGCAGATAAAAAATATAAAAGAATATAATGGAGATGATAAATTTGTTTTAATTACAATATGGAAGAATAATATTCCTGGGCTTCTGAGCAGACTGACACAGAGAGAATCAGTTAGGTCAAAAGAAGTTATATGAAGTGCAACACATAGAGAAAAGAGAGTAGAAACAAACAGACAAAGAAAGCAGAGCATCCCAAACCTGTCTGGAAGTACTGAACATACTAAAATACATGTATTTAGAGTCTCAGGAGCCGAGGAAGAAAAGAAAGGGGTAGGAAAAGTATTTAAAGAGAAAATGTTTCAGAATTTTCCAATATTCATAAAATAAATCACACAGATTAAAGAAGCTTAATGAATCTCAAGTGAGGAAAAAGCCCTGTACACTTCACAAACCATTAAACACCAAAGAAAAAGAAAAAAAAGTTTAGAAAACCAGAGGGGAAAAAATAGAAAAATTAAATTTAAAAAATAAAGATATAATTTATAGCATGTTTTTCATCAGAAACTATTCAAGCCAGAATGCAATGGAGCAACATCTTTAAAGTATTGGAAGAGAAAAAAACTACTGTCAACAACCTAATGTATGACAGTAATAGCATACAGGATGAAATAAGAAAATCAAAGCGAATCATTGTAAGGTTCTTATCAGATAGATACATGAAATGACATATTATTTGTGATAACTTAAAGATTAATATTATGCATACTAAAGCACCCACTAAGAAAAGCCACCAAAAGGAGGACAGGAAATCCTGTACCAACACAAAGCAGATGTTCTGCTATCACTGGGGATGGAGCAAGAAAGTTGTCTCCATCCAGGGCCATACACATACACACAGTAGAGTTTGGCTGTCACAGAAGGAGTAAAAATGTTGACAAAAATCATACCCCTGAGGTTTAGGCTTACAGAATCTACCAAAGATGAAGACTGGGTCAAGTTAACAAGTAAATTTACCATAAACTGGATACTGAATAACAAGCAACAGCAGTCTACAGCTTTGGTAGGGGCAAGAGCATGAAGAAATGTGCTTCTGTGGCACAGGCACCATACAGGGTCTACTAAAAGCACAAGGTCTAACCAATAAATGGTCTGACAGACATGGCATACCTATTTCCGATCATAAATGCTGTTACCTCAGTATCTACTGTTTTTTGCTCATAATATCCAGTATTTGATAAAAAATTTCAAGATACATAAAAAGAGCCAAAAAAAAAAAAAAAAGAAGTCACTGTGGAGAAAGCAGTTGACAGAACCAGACCAACATATTGACCAAAATACTGGAACTATTATAAACTGTAATTAATATATTAAAGGATCTATAGAAAAAATGGACAAAATATATGAGCCAATGGAGACTTCAGTAGAGAACTGGAAAATATAAAAAACAATCAAATGAAAATGCTAGAAACAAAAAGCAAGGTATCAATGATAAATAATTCTTCCAATTGGCTTATCACAGACTGGACACAGTTAAGGAAAGAAATCAGTGAACTTGAATAGAAGTTAATAAAAATTTTCTGAAAGCAATCATCAGTTCAGTCTTTAAAAACAAGCTTCTGAAGTCAGAATACCTGGGTCAAATCTCAGCTCCATAGTTACTAGTTCTGTGACTACTAAGTTGCTCAACTTCTTTATGCCTCAATTTTGCCATCGCTTAAACAGAGTAATAGTATAAAAGTGCCATAATTGTTATAATAATTGAGTTAATATATGTGAAACATTTACCACAATGCTTGTCACATTAAAGACATATAAATATTCCCATTATTACTAATTATTAATAAATTCCTATTAATTATTAACTATTACTAACGCTTATAATGCCTGGGGTTCCCAAGCACGACCCATACCTCTTAATACTTGGCTAGATGCTAGAGCTTTCATCAGTTGGAAGTGCTACAAACTGAAAGTCAAAAACATCCTACATAGTTTTAAAGTACAGTTTTAAATTTTTCTCATAATTTGGAATAATTATAGAATTCGAAACTAAGTCAAAGCACATTATTTATCTACAAGAAAAAGCACAGTAATTCATAGGTCTCTGCCAAATCTTTACAAAAGAGTTTAGATAATGTCTTAAACTTTTATCATGAACCTTATTGATTCCACTGAAACATAGATAGATGTAGTAGAAAGTTTAAGTGCAGATAGTACTTTAACCATCTCATCTGATACCTAACTCAAAGCAGAATGAGAATCTGTGAATATATGAAAAAGCAAACTGATAAAACTGACATGAGGACAAGATAAGGGGTATGTTATTCATGGAATTCTCTTAGATTTAATACTTTAAGATTTGTTCTTGGATAGATTATTGAAAATTACACACTTCAACCATAACATCTATGTAACATGGAAAATGATTTAACTTTATTTTGAAGTATGAAAGACTCATGTGAAGAATTTTTTCTATACTATGATAAAACAACTAATAAAGACATTGTCTATGATTTTGTTTTCTATCCCCCAAGAAAAGATTAATATGACAAAATACTGTTAAAATTTGATTTCAGAAAACTATCTTTCTATTCTGTATAATGGCATAATTGTGTTCACTTTATGGAATTTTGTAACTAAACTTAAAAGTTAATTTTGGGAATTAAATTAGACTACATATTCAATAGGTTTATTTTTTCCTCCGTAGGTATGGCTTTTAAATGTTTTAATTTCTTAATGTAAGTGTTTTATTAGTATATATGACTTTTATTTTAAATGACTGTAATCAGTTTTAGAAGGCAGGGCATTCATTCTAAATAAACATTTACTAATTTATTGATCTATTCTACTATCTATTTCACTATATATTTAGTAAGACATTGTCATGGGTTGAATTGTGTTCCTGCTCCCAGATTCATATGTTGAAGTCCTAACCTCTAGTACCTGAGAATTATGACCTTATTTAGAAACAGGTTCAATGCAGATGTAATTAGTTAAGATTAGATCATTAAGGTGAGCTCTAATCCAGTGTCCTTATAAAAAAGAGAAATTTGGAAGAGGACACATAGATCACCATGCATATATAAGGCAGAGATCAGGTGATGCTCCTATAAGCCAAAGGTTGTCCAAGATTACCAGCAAACCGAGTGAAGCTACAGAAAGATCATGAAACAGATTCTTCCTCAGAGCCCTCAGAAAAAAAATCAACCCTGATGACACCTTGATCTCAGACTTCTAATTTCTAGAACTGTGAGACAATAAATTTCTGTGGTTTAACCCACCTAGTTTGTGGTGTTTTATCAACCTAGCAAACTAATACATACTATTTTTTTTAACAAATTTATTTTATATACATATGATATACACCAAACATTACCTTAATGCAAAAAAATAAATTCCTTTTGCGTACAATAGCAGTCAAGTTCCTTTTAAAGAGGTGTGGCCATAGCATGGTAATTTTAATACTTATCAAAAGGAATTTTTATTTATATTTTAAGTAAATTTAATTAGCTTTAAAATATTATTTGTAGTACTTAATAAAATGTGACTACCTGAAACACTACTCCCTCTTCTGAGATGGAAGGACATTATGGCTCTCTTAAAACATTGCAATATGAGATATGTTCCCTTAAACCTGATGTCATGATTTAAAATTACCTAGCTGCAAATCTACACACAAACTCATGTGAAAAACAGTCTACTTTTAGTTCTCTGTTCACCTATCACATGTAAAAGTACTGCTTATGAGGAATGTCAATTTTACTGCTCATATTCAATCTTAGCATATGTTTCTGATTATGAATTATATTTAAACTATATGGCATAAATTTCCTTAAAAAATAAAGGTAGCATAGAAAATACCTAAGGTTCTATGATT